TTATAAATTATACATCAAACAGTTTTTTAAAAAGTCCCTATATAATTTGTTTCTTATATTGAAGCATAAAAAAAATAATGAAATATTAATGTGATGTTTGTATTAGTGATCATTAAAGTTAATGATAACTTCTACTGATAATAATGTTAGTTTTGCGGCTTAAGAATCCAACAAGTTTGCAAGAGAATATATTAGCGGCAGAAACGAAAAGAGGCGGCATCGTTTGTCCTTTTTTCCTATAATGTGAACAATGTTGTTTGTTCGTATAATAAGAATAAACGTGGAGAAATCTGACAAACTTCTATTACTTGTTTTCTGCCTTATCAGTAGCATAGACAAAAAGGATAATGAGGAATGATAACATCAACGACAACTGACTCACTCATACCTACATTAGACTATCATCTTACCTTATTAAGCTAATCAGATTGTTTCGTAATATTTTGTTGTAAGAAATTACAATTTAAGGCAAGAAGAGATCATCAAAATCGTTGAAGATTACATACGAATTGAAGTTTGCATCTTAAAAGAGTAATCCATCTAAAACAATGATAGAATGATCAATAAGAACTTTGAAATTTAATCGAATTTTAGCAAATGTTTTTAATGAATTTTAAATTAAAACAATAGTGCGCTGTTATTTTACAAAGATCACAATTTAAGTATTGAAATTGTTTATGCCTTACTGTGTTAAACTTTTTCTTGTTATTGTATTGGAAAAATCATTGCATTAATTAATGTTACCTGGTATACAATTTATCCAATTATTACTATTGCAAATTCAAAAATCTGAAAAGCTTTAAAGAATGAAAAATGATTTAATAATTAATTTATTTAAATGTATGAAGGATAAATGCTTGAATGCTTGAATAATTTTTGATTAAGTAATGATAGGTAAATATTTAAAAGTAAACATGTTTTATCAATGGGAAAAACATATGATACGATGATTTGATAATACATCCAATGGGATGTTATCATTTTGAAAAGCTTGTTAAAAAAAAATTATCTTTACGATGACACTAATATGAATTATAATCAAATTAGTTGTAAAATAGCTTTTATACCATAATTATCCTTTCTTCATAAAAATCAGTCATTATTTGTTATGAATTTCTTCTATTACAATTATTGAATAAAATTATAATTGATAATTTTAGTATGACTAATATTCAGTATCCACCGAAGTATTTAATGGGATATTGCTTTTATGTTATATTTTAATTTCGTTAGTTATCATATTTTCGAATATGTTTGTAAGTGTCATTTGAACACAATAGTTGCCGCTAAGTTTAATGAATGTAATGGTACAAACAGCCGTTGATCTTGTTAACACCTGACTAATTGCCTAAAAGACAGCATTTTTGCCGCTATTCTTTGATGTGATCCTAAAATCATTGCTGCAAAAGTTTTCTAATAAAGAGAAATTATCAGAGCCGAATTATCTCTAAAGAATTTTCCTATGATTATGGGTGGTCCAATAACTGATTTTCTCCCTCCCCCTCTTTACCCTCTTTAAATGTTCCTTTTTGTAAGTTAACAATGATTGTTGTGTATCTGCGTCAGTTTACATGTATATTTGATTATGTGTGTGTGTGTATGTATGTGTTAGTATGTGTGTATGTTGTTAACAATGATTTATGTATATCATATCAGCAAACAGTTCTACGAGAGTGGGATAAATGAATTAATGAAAATTTAATAAATTCCAACAAGTTAGGTATGAATGAATGAAATTTATATTTTGATCTAAATAGTAATATCAGTATTGTTGCAGTGATATTTCCAAATATGATCATTTTATCATTTTCAACTGATTTCTACTTTATCACGATTTGAAATATTATTTATTTTTTGTGATAAGATTTAATCATTTAGCAAGAAATAAGATGAAAGGTTTTCAAAGAGGAATGATTTGCAAATTTTGAAACAAAAACTAAGTCAAAATTTTTTACTATTTTATTTAGAAAAATGTCGTTGTAATAAATGCAACTGCTGAATATATGAAATAACGAATATGATCATTCTGTATTGGAATGTGATAGCCATCGTTGTGGTTCATTCAAATATCAACAAGTAGTTGCAATCATCGAGAAGGATAAATTATGTAAAATGAAACTTTCTTTGAAACATTGCAATCAATAAATGAATTCCAATTTCTCTATTCATTTGAAGGAACATTTGAATTAGTGAAAACTGATATATGCTAACGATAAAATAATTCTAAATTCAACTGAAATAAAACAAACACACATACACGCACGCACATACAGCGATACACAGAAATATTTGTAGCAATGAAAATAAATTGCAACTGAATTTCACGCTACCATCAATAGGTCATTAGCATTAGCAAAAGTTATGCTTTAAAAAAATTTATGAATTTAAAATTTATCAGTTAAATCTCAGAAAAAAAATTTTTGATGATAGTTACCTTTGATGTTTCATTAAAATATAAATATGCATAATAGAGCATCTGAAAAAAGGGCAAAAATATGCTCATCCGGCTGTCAGTTACTTCCAGAAAATGTTCATCTTACTGTTAGTTTTTTATTTCAGAAATGTTTACTTGACTGTTAATTTGATAATATTTTCGATGATACTGCCTGCAAAAAGAAAAATGAAAAAAATAATTTTGCAAATTAAAATTTCGAATACAGAAATGAAAATTAAAAGTCGTTTTCCCATGCTGATACGTATTTATTATACGTATCAATAGATAGAACAGATCAAAGATTTGATATATAAATAAAAATTTTTTAAAAATAGATAAAATTTAATTAATTGAAATAATATGATTGTTCTGTTGCTTTTGATTTAATTACAAATACTTTAATGATTATTTGATAAATGAGCGATTATTTGATAAATTATTTAAGAATTTGTATAGATTTTTAACTGAATGAGAAATGATTCTTTAAGGAGAGATAGAGAAGTAAACAATTTTTGTTATTGTGTCACATTAAATTAGTAACAACTGGTCGTTTCACAAGTATTAATTCGTCCACCCATCAATTGAAATTACTGCGTATCTAACCATTCTCTTTAAAAACAGGTTTCAATCTTAGACCATTTATTTGAGTTAGAAAAATATTGAGAAAAGATTTTTTTTTAATTAAATTCATAGAAATTTGTCAAAAATTTCAATTAATTACCTTGAAAAATTTTCCGATAAGAAATTAATTATTATTTAATAGCCATTATTAAGTAAAATAATTTTTTTGACAACATATCTTTTCTTCAACTTTTCAGCTTTGTTGTAAAATTCTACAACGAAATATTATCAATGTAACGATATATTTCATTGTAATTGTTTCGTTTTGTTTTTTTTTTCATTTATTAAATTTTTAATTAAATAGAAAATGAATTTAAAAAATGAAAGAAATTCTAGAAATATTCGATTAACTTTTATTAACTAAAACATATTTTCAGAAAGTTCGAGAATAGTTGTTTGTATTTTGTTATCAAAACAAATAAGTAATGTTTCTTATGACTTTCAACAAATTTATCTAAGCAATAAGATGATCAATGACCTGAAGCTGTTGAATTTGATGCTTTAGTCTGAAGCACAACTGATTCTTCAAGAGATGATGGATCGTAATTTATTGGTGAAAAAGAAATGATGTAAAAGAAGAGGTTCTAGGAGAAAAGGGATGATAGTGATTGGCAGCTGGGATGAAATCACTTCGAAGATTGGAATTTACTGAGAGGTATCATTGCCGTTGGATAATGCAACTCTTTCAAAATAGCTTGAAGACGGTTCTCTCTTCAAGGACGATCGATTTTTTAGATAAAGAAACGATAATTCCATCAAATTTTCATCGATGACAATAATCAAACCTTTACCTCTATCATCTGTGACTTCTTTTCGTTTCATAACTTTGATTCATAAGAAGAAAAGAAATTATCATCTTTATTAAAATAAGTACAGTTATCAGATTATCAGTAAAATAAACAAATGGAAAATTAAATAAACAAGTGAATGAGAGAAAAAGAAAATGAATGAAATAAATAATAGAAGCATGAAATAATTCTTATCACTTATTTACATTATAATATTTGACCCAGATAAGTTATTTTTTCATTTTCGATGATAATGATAGTGATAATGATGATAGAGAGGAAAAATTTAAATTTCGATTGAACTTTTTTTGAATATTAAAATATCGTGAATTTATTAAAAATAAATAATCCCTCATAAATCGTAATTTTTTTTTCTTGCTCCAATTAGGAGAAAGAATAATATTATGACAATGTGACATGTGTGATATGTGACGCATTTTAATCAATTCTTCGTCTTAACATTATCCTTAGAGATGTTGGCGAAATTTTGATTATCTCTCCAAACTATTTGAACTAAAAAAAAAAGTGAGAGAATAGAAGGAAAATGAGAGAAAATTGATTCTCTTGAGCGAGAGTTATCAAATATGACATTTCTTCTTCTGTTGATAAGATCGACGGATAATTATCAAATTTATATTTTAAATGCAATTGATAGATGAATGACAAGATGAAAGAAAATGGGATGATTTAGGTGGAAATATATCTTAGAATTCTGCAAAACAAGTCTATAAATGTTGACAAATTGATTACTAATATATTTATATATATATATATTATATGTTAGTGTTACACATACAAATCTTTGGTAGCAATTTTTATTATGCATATATGCTTTTATTAAAATCTAATGATAAATTTTATAAAAAGTAAATTAAGTTTTCTACAGATATTAAATTTAAAAGTCAACAAGAATAGAAAGAAGTTATACTAATTCTAAATGTTTTAATAGAAATACCTGACCACTGACCACAGAATCACTAGACTAATCAAAACTTCAAATGAGCAATAGTAAGTGAACAACAGAGATTTTACATCAATGAAAAGGAAAGAAAAAAGCCCTGGTGAAGTGTATAATTGATGAGATACATTTAACAAAAACTGATTGTGAATTTATTATCATACATACATGTGTCAAATACATCAGTGTTACTCTTGTCTTACTTATAAGTTGTAGCGTTATTATCGCTTTGTGATGATTCGATAACTTTTGCAGCTATTGTGGCAAGTAATTTTTGATGATCGGCAGTTGGTGAAATACCCGTGGGAATGCATGGAAAAGGTGAGGGTGTATGCGTAGCTGATGGTGTTCGTGGATTAGCGACAGAAATTCGAGGTGGAAAACCTTCAGATAAACGAGGCACAAGTGATGGAAATGGTAACGACGGAGCCGGCCTAATAGGTGTTAATCGATGAAGTGGTGAGACACCAGGAGTTCCAAGGAATGTAGGAGGTAGAAAAGGTGGTCCTGGTGGTAAAAACGGTGTTCCCGGATAAGTAACTGATTGATAATCCGGCTCTGGTTGTTGGCGCTTGAATCTGAAAATTTTTTTCCTTTTCAAAAGATATTTAAATTTATTTAAATGAGAAAAATCAAGCAAAAACTATAGGTACCCAAAATTTTCTGCACATCGTAATTTATCGCTTTAAAAATTCGAAATTTTAGTTCGTGCAAAAATGCAGCAATTGACTGCCTCCACAGTTTACTTTCTAATTTACGGAACGGCACCAGCTGTCGGCAACTAATTAACGCGCTTTATGTTATTCGGCTTGTAGAAAACATCGAAACATCCCGTTTAAAATAGCATCGTTTTTATACCGTAATCCTTAACTAACCATTCTTTCACCCATAATAAAAATCAAATCATTGCTTTTAAAATGTTATAAAATGAATGTGGAAAACCTTTTGCGACGCCTCAGGAATGATCCATTATCGAACATATCCTCAGCTTTCGGATCTAATGCCCAGTAATTTCCTTTCCCGGGATTTCCTGGTTCTCGTGGGATCTTGATGAAACAATCATTTAGACTCAGATTATGCCTGATTGAATTCTGCCATGCCGGAAATTTTTCCCGATAATACTGTAAAAGTCAAATTTGGTTTCTATCAATTCAAAAAATAAGTTTCCATTTGTCTTCAGCTTTTCTCAAAATTCTAAGTATTCCATAATTTCAGAAATCACTGAAGTTGAAATTTTAAATAAGGTATATTTAAATAAGGCTTAAATTCACTTAGTGGATAGTTGGATAAACTAAGTGAGGCTAAATTACTGCCGAAGAGAAAAAATACCTGTTCATTTTCTATGATTATTTTAGGTTTTTACCCAAGAATTGAGCATGGATCATTCCTAAGTAACAAATTGCTTCTAGAATTCGTAATTAAATAAAACTAAGAATTTGTAGAATAAAAATGAACCTGAAATCGGTTAATAATGAAGTCGCATATTTGCGACAAAGTTAATTTTTTATTCGGGCTATTCAGAATAGCCATTGCGATCAAGGCAATGTATGAGTAAGCTGGTTTAGTTGCGTTAGATTTGCTTCGATTACTGCTGTGCTTGCTGGTCTGCCTATGAAGAAATTAGTTAATTAGGAAATACATTTTAAAAATTATGCATAATTCTGTCCTTTGAATAAATCTCTAAATCTGCATTTATAATTTATTAATTTCTTTTTACTTCAAAAATGATGCTATCTGACAAATACATTATCAAAAATATTTTAGTAATTTCAATCCATTTATGGGTCAACTTCTTAAAGTTAGATTATTTTTGTTGTTAATTAGGAATAAATTTTGGTATCGATTGCTTATATGATACCTCGAATTATCATCGCACTGACCCTCATCATCTGAACTAAAACTATACGGTTCATGATACATTTCCAAACTTGAACCAGGTCGGTTAATATCTTTAACAAAATTAGTTGACCATTTTGGTGAAACTGAACCTTCCTGAAAATATGAGATGCATTTTTATAACAAAAATTGTTGTAAAAAAAAATGCGGAATTTTGCAGAAAATTTTTCCTTTGCAAAAAAAAATGAATCAAATACATTGATAGGATTGTTTCGTTTGTTTGTCATATCGTAATAATTTTAGGTTCAATTTTTTCAAACACAAATGCGCCAATAATTTTGGATATAATAATATTTTGCAAAAAGTTTTTCAATCCTTAATTTTTTTGAATTTATCTGCAAAATCTTGAAAAAGAGCTAAACTTGAAAAACTTGAAAAAAAAGTTCCGCTGAATGAATGTAGTACATTAAATGAAGTTACGCAATATGGAAGAAAGGATAAGAGAATAGTAATTAAGAGGGCGAAATACACAACTCAATTCAACAATGTTAAATGATCCATAATCATAAAGGTTACTTTAATGTATCAGATAATCGCCGGTAAATTGCACCGTATTGCAGCTTATTACGCCTATTACGTAACAGCAGTTGTTTGACACTGTCGAAGCGATTGAGTAACTGCTAATGTGACAAATGTTACTTTAATGGCCTAATATTGGAAATGGTAGTTTTTTGTATTAATAAAGAAGAGATGGCAAATATCATATCATTTCCTTTTATCAACCTTTTTCTACACGATCCAAGTATTGCAATTCGGATCAAAAATAAAAATATAATAATAATGCTTCTTCTGAATCCGAGGATTAGATGGAAATTCTCCTGAAATTCTTTTATTTGATACTATCATCATTCTCTTCATTGATGAAAGGAAAATGACAGCAAATATACAAAGAAATTCTTTGAAGAGTTTAAAGTGCAAGAATGATTTCGGGAGATATTCAACTCAGAACTTTGCAATTTCATAAAGAAACAAAAAAGAAATAGAGTTTCAATCACACTATTGAACACTTATAGAAAGTAATTAAAGAAGGTATCTTGAAGGAATGAACTCTTTTTTTGTAACATTTTTTCCCCTCTTTAATTATGGACGGATTACCACCGATCATTTGGCTAATCAGAAATCGTTGAAAAATTATTTCAAATTTATTTCTTGATATATTCTTATTAAACTCATAAAGTTTGCTTTTATTCATTCAAAATATAGTTCGAATTCGTTAACACAACATTCATCTATTATTTGTTAAAATATTAATGTATCTTGAATTTAGGAGATGAACAGATAAATGAAATAAGTTTTATGGCAGAATTGAAATAATGCATCTGCAAGTAATACAATTTATTAACATATATTGAACAATCAATAACTACTTACCGATTTAGAAGGTCTGATGATACCAATTTTCTCATCATTATTAGCATTTCTGCTACTGGTAATTCCTTCTTGATTTGCTGATTTAGAATATCTCGTATATTTTGTACTACAACTAGCCTGATGAATCTAAAATTAGTTAGAATCAGAAGTTGGAATAATTAATATTAGTATTTAAAATAATTTCAAAATGTTTTCAAATATCATTAAATTTGTTAAGGACGATGTAACAGATTTCAGATAACTAAGAGATTAAAAGATGAGAAAGTAAAGAAATTATAAATAATATGAAAATCATCGAAATGTTAAGCTTAAAAATGATATGCGACGAATTTTTCATAAAGGAGAAAATTAATAATAAAGCTTCTAGAAAGTTTAATCTCTTTTAACTTTTTATATTTATCTCTAATGATCAGCGATAAACATTAAAAGGTATCAAAACTGTTAAAACAATACGGTAGCAAATTATTTAACACGAAAAGTAAAGTATACGCTGATTAGGAACAGCAATAAGTGGCTGCAAAAGCTATTCAATAGTAATTTAGAAAGCCATAAGCGCATCATCCATCACTGTGGATATACTGAAGCAATGAATAATGATTGGATAAAAGATCTATCACCGCCCAATCTTACTAGTCTTTCAATTTCGAACTAGCACACATTAATTTTAAATTCGAGAAAATTTGATATTTTTTAAAAAATTTTCAGTTTAACTTCAAGCTGTTGAATTTAAGAGCTGGTAACATTTTATGACTTTCCACTTTTTTCATTTTAACAAACCGAATAAGTTATATGAAAAACTTAGTTAATGGTTTAAAAGTTTGAATCAGAGCAATTAAATTTATTGCTGATAAAATGAAAGAGAGAGAGAGAGAGAGATATTGAGATGAGAATTATCTTCTTCAATCTAATAAAACGATTTTAAAATGTTTTCGAAATTCAAATCTTCCTTCTAAACATACATCGATTTTATTGCTCATATGCTCTTCCGGAAAAAAGCTGCTGTCGATTAAATGCGATGATGATCGTGAACTTGAACCTTGAACAGGCGTTGTTACATTATTGTTAGAGTTGTTTAATGAAGAACTTTCCGGTCGATCGGGACTTTCACTTGCCTGAAAACTTCATAGGGTTATTAGAAAAATTAAAACATCACGATCATCAAATCTTCAATCATTCTTTGAGAATATTTCATATAAGCAATTTATTGGAATTCAAAATATTTCTCATGCAATTAAATAAAATAATCGCGTATCATTATTTCTATAATTAATTTAGACAATATATCATTATTATATTCCATTATGTTAAATTCTTTGAAATTTAAATAAAAGTTTTGCTTACTCTCAAAATTTCACTGTTTAATTCTTTGCATTTATTTGTGCTACTAACACATGCATCTTTGTTGCAATTTTCATGTGGACGTTTGCGCCCTGTAGCACCATTGTTGTCGATTTGACCGCATAATATTGATTCCATCGAGAAACGCATCTTCGCACTCATGCATAGATATCAGAGGCCTAATTTTCATAGAACTTCAATCTAAAAACAGCTGTTTGTGAATTTGTGAGATAGTTTACCAAATTAATGATCTCGAGCGTTTTATGTTGTCATCTAGAAATTTTCGTTATATTTTTGACTTTTTAATAAATATCATGAAGATATCTTGCAATAAAATAGAAATAACCATTCTAACAACAACAACAACAATTACCAAATGGTTAATTTATTAATTTCAATAAATTATGTAATTAAATCAAAATAATACACATAGTTAATTATCAGTTATCAATAACATTAAAATAAATGATATTTTATTTCTAACTAATATTAGCTTCACTAAATCAAAGATGCTAATTTCTTTAAATTAACAAATTTTTGCTAAATTTTTTTTTATTTTAATTAAAATAAACAAACAATTTTTGCTAAATTATTTAATAAAATAATATTATTTAATAAATTGCTGTAAAATAATTTTGAAAATTGATGAATTTTCCTTATTTATTATTTATAATTATAATTAAGTTTGAATTCAATGAATAGTTTATTCAATGATGTTTACAATAAAATAAAAGTTATTAGAGAAAATGGTGTAACTATTACTGCAAAAAATGGTAAAAATAAGGAACAACCTGTTAGTTTAGAAATTTTCATGAAAAAAGAGGAAAAGAGAGAGGAAATGAAGAGAGGAAAAAATAGAGAGAGAGAGAGAGAGAAAGTGCTTCATCTTTGTGATTGGATTATTCTGATAAGGACAATTTTTTGTTTGCTTGTTTAAACACTGCAAACAAGCATGAATGGTCTCTTATGTTGATTTATATCACATTCCTAAAAAAAAAGCGAAGAACGAATTGATGGAAAAAGTAATCGAAGGTCAAAAAGGGTCTATTAAATTGTAAGTCATTTTTCACCGCATCATTTCCATTTCATTTCCATTTCAATTCATTTTCATTTCCAATTTCAATTTTAAACTCTAATAATTTTTGCGCCAAATTTTCCTTTTTCACTTTTCGCAAAATAACTATTTTCATTAAAAACAACAAAATTAAACTTCATTTATGATTGTGTAAAAATAAAAGATTTTCGACGTAGGTAGTATGTATGTATGTGTAGAAGGAAGATGAATATCGAGATGTATGATCTATTAAGATTGCAAATTAAGCTAAGCGTTATCGATCATAGCTTATTTGTTTTCAATTGCAATTAATCTGATCGTTGTTTATCAACTTGTTGTTATCAATTGAAATAATCCAATAAAATTGAAGAAATTAGTCGAGGAAAAAAAACTATCCGATGATTTTTATTATAGCAAATAATTTGAAATGATATATATGATATTTTCAAAAAAAAAAATTGTGATAAAGTTCTTTCTAAAAACATACACACAATGATAAGTTTCATTGTACGTTTGTCAACAACTATTACATTTATAAAAACAAAGAAAAAAACTGATGAAAATGATAAAATTCATTTTTGTGATAAAGAAAATGATAGGAAAAATTTTCGTTGCATTTTAGAAACAAATAAATACGAAGAGAACATTTAATAGAATTATCGCGATATTATTTTATGGTTAATTCGAAGTTGAAATATATAACTATCTGAAGAAGAATATCGTATAAAGTAGCAGAAAAAGAAATTTCATACCATCCGCGCTTCTGATATTTTCATTTATCCTGAGCATAAATAAACTAAAATATTCCGTAAAAGCATTCTTCGGCATTATTTACAGGAGATGATAAAATATAAAAAGCAAATCAGAGATTGATAAGATGACTTATAACAATTCACAATCGTTTTTTATCAAATTCTTTTAATAGTTCAAAATAAAGTTATTGTTTTTTTCTTTTAGAGGTTAAAATAGATAAAATTACACTGTAAAATATTCTCTTACAGTATTTCAATACAACAGTTAGTTATCAGTCAATGATTAATTTTACGATTGAATACGAAAAAGAATATTTATTTTTACGAACATTTTTAATTATTCAACAAATCCAACAAAAGGTAACTTCCCATTTGAATTCATTTTAAAAAAAAAAACAATTCTAAAATATAAACAATAAGTAAATGAATTTTTAGGGGTAACGTTGTAAACGGAAAAACAATTAGATAATTAATGATAAATGTTTAATCATTTTGAAAATAGTAAGAAAAATTTTTTTTGAATATTTCTCAGACAAGCAAAAAAGCAAAGAAAAGAATAAAACAAAAAAGATCAATCATAAATTGGATGTTATGAAAAATCTTATTCCTTAAAAATTAAAATGAAACATTACCTTATCATATTATCATTGAAATGATAATTAATCAAAACTATTCTTAGCATTATCATACTACTGAATTTATATACCTTACTACCTGTGCATATTTATATAGATACATATTATGTGTAATCATTGAACTTAATAAAGAATTTATTTATCAAAGATATTTTTGAAGCACCACAATTATTAAATCATAATCATCAAGTATAAAACTTTGCAAATTGCTAAATCTGAGATAAACAATGTTTAATATATTGTCATCTATATATATTTTGTCATTAGCAATTTTCCTTATCAATATCAATCAATATTGCTATAAAAATGAATGTATCTTCACCCCTTCCCCTTTCCATTCCTCTCCCACGAAGTGATGCTTCCGTCGAACGGATGCAATCCTTCTTCATTTTTCATTCCTAATGAAAATATTTACAAAAATATGGAAAACATCTACAGCTAAAGTAGACATACATAATTGCATACCTTATAACATACACACACACACACATACATGCACACATACATACATACATACGCAGACACACACACACATATACATACATCCACATACACACGACATGGTTTTATATTTTGACAGCCAGCGAGCATGCCTTGTCATAGAGGAGTGGGCGTTCACTTTGATAACAAAACTCCGCCTCCTACTATGATTGGTTTAGTGGGTAATTTTACTATTATTGAATTTATTTTGTTATTCGTTACCCTAAGGATCATATTGCAATGAAGTAAGCATTTGAATGGATTTATTAGTTGAGATGATGGGAGAGGAAGAAAAGCGCCGAGCGCATATTTCACGTAGTTAACGTATGATTCTAACAAAGCATGCATATATCTTTACGTATTACTTTCAATAACACGTATACTGATTACTCCAATTCCAGATTTGTATATTAATATTATCATTCAGTAATAGTTAGTTACACGTACGTCAAAAATTGACATTCTTTTTTGACATTAATCTCAGCGGAAAAAATAGCACTGTTATCACTGATAAATTTTTTCCAATAATACGTGAAAAAAAAAAAGAGCTGGCTCGAATACTATTTATCCGATCTGGATTGCATATCTCATTGCATTACAGTAATTTTCTCATGCATGAGAAAGAGAGTGAGTCTATCATATGTCCCTCTGTCCCTCATGAAAGTATTCCGCTCATCTTCAATATTATAATTATTGGTTGAATACATGATAGTATCAGCATATCAAGGATTTCTTTTAGTGATAACTTATCCTAATCATTGTGATGAAATATTTCATACAAAAAAAGATAAAACTGATAATAATGCTCTTAAATTTAATAATTCCACTTTTTTTTTTTAAATTATAATTTATAGTAAACTAAATTTCATAATACTTTAAACAAATTATTTAATTTAATTTGATATGATAAGCATTTTCACATGTAAATGTGTTATCCATAAGCAGCGGATAAAATTTATTTATACAATATTACACACCATATGGTATTAACTAGTTTATTTATATAATTAATAATATAATGGCAAGTATGATTAGAATATACTGTAACACAAATGACAGATATATCCTGAAATAATAGAAATAACTGAGAAATTTCTAGCATTTCTCTCACCTCATTTTATCTCACATCGATTTAATTTCACCCAATCTTTGCTTCTTTAATTTTCCAAATTACAATTGTTTATTTTAATCATTGATATAAATGTATGCGTGAAAGATGCAAAATGTAAAACATGATGTGGAATAGATCAAATATGGATATAACCAGTTAAAAAAGCATGTTACATTGATTTTCTTCATTGCAAGAAAGATAGTATGACTCATTGGTTGAAAATTAATAAAGAAAATTTCAAAAGATAAGTTGGATTTTGATTTTTTTAAATCCTAATTTTACCATTGCTAAATGAAATTGAAATTGAAATGAGGTTTTGTGGCCTTCAAATGGATTTCAATTCTTTAATTTTTATAATATTGCATTTCGAATTTTCAAGTTTAAAATTACAAATCATAATTTATAAAATTTAATATAATATATATTATATATATGCAGTGCAATACATACTATATATTATATAATTAATTTTAAATATGGAACAAATAAAGCAAATAATTCTGATCTTCAATAAATGAATATTTTTAATTACTCATTTAAAAAGCTGTCAAATAGTGAAAAATTCTGTAGAAAGATGGAAGGATATTGTTTATTGCTAATTTAATACTTTATGTAATAGAATACTACTAAAATAACAATTCGAAATTTTTAATGTTAACCCTTTATTGGTAAACATTGCCTAAGAAAAAGATGAAATTTTTTTAAACTTGAAGTTAAGAAAAAGATTTGAGAAATTTTGGTTGCAAAAAATCAAACTTCAAAAATTCCTATATCGAAATATTAATATATTTCATTCATTCTAATAGGATAAGCTTAATTTTATCACCCGATGTTAGTGTAACTGGTTTGAGGGGCGCGCACAATCAATCTCTTCTTTAAATGCTCTAGTACTAATTTGTCCCGATATCCGTCTTTCGTCTTATCTCAACTGTTCTTCATTAATCATTAGATACCGACATATACCCACTCATCCACCCACCCATCTACCCATGATATACATGCAAAGAGATTAACACAGATATTTATACAAATGGTACTACTAATGTCCAGTTAGAAAAGGATGCTAACACCATTTCAAGTAAAAATATTATATGTATGTATGTATATGATACATATTCTATCTGAATATT